TGGACCCAAAATCCACCCCAGAACCCCCAAAATTATAGGGAGGGGGACAAGAGGGGGTCAGGAAGGAATTCACGAATTTTCCCAAAATTCCCAAAAAATTCTGTGAAATTCCATTGAAATTTGGTAAAAAAGCAACCAAAAATTGTTAAAATTGACCCAAATTGGACCCAAAATCCACCCCAGAACCCCCAAAATTATAGGGAGGGGGACAAGAGGGGGTCAGGAAGGAATTCACGAATTTTCCCAAAATTCCCAAAAAATTCTGTGAAATTCCATTGAAATTTGGTAAAAAAGCAACCAAAAATTGTTAAAATTGACCCAAATTGGACCCAAAATCCAGCCCCAGAACCTCCAAAATTACACAGAGGGGAAGAAAGGGGGTCAGGAAGGAATTCTTGAATTTTCCCAAAATTCCAAAAAAAATTCTGTGAAATTCCATTGAAATTTGAGCAAAATTTGGTAAAAAAACACCCAAAAATGGTTAAAATCGACCCAAATTGGACCCAAAATCCCCCCCAGGACCCCCAAAATTTTAGGGAGGGGGACAAGGGGTGGTCAGAAAGCAATTCCCAAATTTTCACAAAATTCCCAAAATATTCTGAAAAATTCTGTTGAAATTTGAGCAAAATTTAGTCCAAAATCCACCCAAAAATGGTTAAAATCGACCTAAATTGACCCAAAATCCAACACCAGGACCCCAAAAATGGGGAGGAGAACGGGGAGCCCCAAAAATTTAAAAAAAAAATCCCCAAATTCAAAAAAAAATCAAAAATTCCCCCAAAATTTGCCCCAAATTCCCAGAAAATTTCCCCAAAATTCACTAAAATTGACCCCAAATCAAAAACTCGCCTAAAATGGCCCCAAAATCCCCCAAAATGGCCCCAAAATTCACCCTGGGTACCCCAAAATTTGGGATTGGGGGATCAGGGATTCCAGAATCCCCAAAAAATTTAAAAAAAAATCCCAAAATTGGCCCGAAATTGGCCAAAATTCATCAAAATCCGGCCCCAAACCTCCAAAATTGCCCAAAATTGGCCCAAAATTGGCCCAAAATTGACCCAAAATTGGCTCATTTGGAGATTTTGGGGTCCCTGGGGACATTTTTGGGACATTTTGGGACATTTGGGGACATTTTGGGGACATTTTGGGACATTTGGGGACATTTTAGGGACATTTTGGAGACATTTTGGGACATTTTGGAACATTTTGGGGACATTTTGGGGTCCCAGGTGACATTTTGGCGACCCCAGTGACATCATTGGGACATTTTGGGACATTTGGGGACATTTTAGGGACAATTTGGGGACTTTTTGGGGTCCCTGGTGACATTTTGGGACATTTGGGGACATTTTGAGGACATTTGGAGACATTTTAGGGACATTTTTGGGACATTTTGGGGTCCCCGATGACATTTCGGGGACATTTTGGTGTCCCAGGTGACATTTTGGGGACATTTTGGGACAATTTGGGACATTTAGGGACATTATTGGGACATTTTGGAGCTCCAGGTGACATTTTGGGGACATTTTGGGACAATTTGTGGACATTTCGGGGTCCAAAGTGACAATTTGTGGACATTTTGGGGACATTTTGGGGTCCCCGGTGACATTCGGGGGGTCCCAGGTGACATTTTTGAGACATTTGGGGACATTTTGAGGACATTTTAGAGGTCCCAGGTGACATTTTGGGGACATTTAGGGACATTTTGAGGTCCCAGATGACATTTTGGGGCCATTTGGGGACATTTTGGGACATTTTGGGGTCCCGGTGACATTCGGGGGGTCCCGAACTCACCCTCGAGGAGCCCGAGGAGCAGCGACAGCAACATGGCGGCACTTCGGCAATTTCCGGACACCTTCGGCTCTTTCCGACCCCCTTCGCGCTCGGTTCGGCTCTTTCCGACCCTCCCCGGGCTCCCTTCGTCTACTTCTGGCCCGCTTCGCTTACTTCCGACCCAGTTCGGTTCTTTCCGGCCCGGTTCGGTTCTTTCCGTACAGCTCCGTCCTCACTTCGCTTATTCCTCGCCCGCTTCGGCTCTTTCCGGAGAACTTCGCCGCTTTTCGGCCCGGTTCTGGTTTCTCCGGCCTAGTTGGGCCCAGTTCAGCCCAGTTCAGCCCAGTTCGGGCCCAGTTCAGCGTCTCCGGCCCCCTCAGCCCCCTGCCCGGCCCATGGGCCCCTCCCCCGCCGCAGGAGGAGGACGAGGATGAGGAGGACGAGGAGGAAGAGCCCGGGACGGGTCTGAGGAGCCGCTTCAAGGCATGGCCGGACCCCCCAATTTTTCCCAAATTTTCCCCAAATTTTTCCCCAAATTTTTCCCAAATTTTTCCTACTTTTTCCTACTTTTTCCCCCCCAAAAAATCCCCAATTTTTCTCCATTTTTTTCCAAATTTTCCTCCGTTTTTTCCCCAATTTTTCTCCAAAATTTTCCCATTTTTCCCCTATTTTATTCCAAATTTTCCCCAACTTTCCTCCTAATTTTTTCCCACTTCTTTCCCATTTTCCCCCAATTCTTCCTCCAATTTTCCTCTAATTTTCCCCCAATTTTCCCTAGTTTTCCTCCAAATGTTTCTCACTTTTCCCCCAAAATAAATCCCCAATTTCCCCTTATTTTTTCCCAAATTTTCCTCTAATTTTTCCCCAATTTCTCCCCAACTTTCCCCAATTTTCTTCCAAATGTTTCCCCCCAAAAAATCCCCAATTTCCCCTCATTTTTCCCCAAAATTTGTTCCAATTTTCCCCAACTTTTCCCCCAATTTTTCACCAAAATTTTCCCACTTTTCTCCTATTTTATTCCAAATTTTCCCCAAATTTTCCTCCATTTTTTCCCAATTTTCCCCCAATTATTCCTCCAATTTTCCCCCAATTATCCCCCACTTTTCGCCAATTTTCCTCCAATTTCTCCCCATTTTATTCCAAATTTCCCCCATTTTTCCCCCCACTCTTCCTCAAAATTTCCCCCACTTTTCCCCCAATTTTCCTTCAATTTTTCCCAATTTCCCCCCACACTTTTTCCCCAAAAAAATCCCCAATTTTCCCTAATTTTTTCCCACTTTTTCCCAATTTTCCCCCAAATTTTTCCCACTTTCCCCCCAATTTCCCCCCGATTTTCCCCCCAGTTTTCCTCCAGTTTTCCTCCACTTTTCCCCCATTTTTTCCCTAAATTTCCCCCATTTAATGTCCCCGAGGTGTCCCCGAGGCCACCCAGTGTCCCCAAAGTGTCCAAGGTGTCCCCAAAGTGTCCCCGAGGTGTCCCCAAGGGTGTCCCCAAGTCCTTCTCATTGTCCCCAGGTCCCTCCCGGTGTCCCCAAATCCATCCCGGTGTCCCCAAGACCCTCCCGGTGTCCCCAAGGCCATCCCCAGCTTGTCCCCGTGTCCCCAGGTCCCTCCCAGTGTCCCCAGCCATGTCCCAGTGTCCCTGAGAGTGTCCCCATGTCCCCAGTGATGTCCCCAGGTCCCTCCCAGTGTCCCCAGGGGTGTCCCCAAGTCCTTTCCAGTGTCCCCAAGGGTGTCCCCAGCCATGTCCCAGTGTCCCCATGTCCCCAGGAGTGTCCCCAGGGCCATCCCAGTGTCCCCAGCCATGTCCCCGTGTCCCCAAGGCCACCCCGGTGTCCCCAAAGTGTCCCCAAGTCCCTCCCAGTGTCCCCAGGGATGTCCCCAAGTCCCTCCTGGTGTCCCCAAAGTGTCCCCAGGACCCTCCTGGTGTCCCCAAGGGTGTCCCCAGCCATGTCCCAGTGTCCCCAAGGCCACCCCGGTGTCCCCAAAGTGTCCCCATGTCCCTAAGAATGTCCCCACGTCCCCCCCAGTGTCCCCAAGGGTGTCCCCAAGTCCCTCCTGGTGTCCCCAAAGTGTCCCCAGGTCCCTCCCAGTGTCCCCAGGGGTGTCCCCAGCCATGTCCTTGTGTCCCTGAGAGTGTCCCCAGGTCCCTCCCGGTGTCCCCAAGGCGTCCCCATGTCCTCAAAGTGTCCCCAAGCCCATCCCCGTGTCCCCAAGGGTGTCCCCAGCCATGTCCCAGTGTCCCCAAGGCCACCCCGGTGTCC